TTTTTGTGTAAGGCAGGCCGGGGGGGGGGCTGTTCACGCCACTGATTTACTTGCAATGGTATTTTTTTGTCTCTGCATATAATATGTATGGTACGTAATGGCATTTTGGAATCTCTTTATTTTTTGAATGGCAGTCTGCCTCATGCAAAAGCTAAACGAAATGAGAGTCAATAGATAAATTTCAAAATATAACACAATATTACATTATGTTACAATCTTTAGTAACAGATTGCCCCATGTGCTGAAGGTCTTGAGACCAAACCCCCACCCTACGGAATTTGACATAAGGTGCTCCTTATGGTTTCGTATGCCTTTATTGGTTTGACTGTCATTTATGACAGAACTTTGAATATTGAGACGAACAAGTCCCAAAAGAAAATTTCGTTCAGTAGAAAGTGGCTTGTTAGTCTACAACAGAAATGATATGTTCGATTGTTTACTTTCTATTTCAGTACCCATTGGTATTTACTGAAACTGTATTTCCCAGTCGAAGCATACTGCGTATATCGGATGAACCTCATGAAGACTGAAATATTAACAAACAAATGAATACCTCGGTGAAATGGTCAAATTACGGGGGAGGGGGAGCCCACAGCCACATGTGTAATCTGCTGTTTTAAGATCGTAGACATGATGGTAATTACCATCATATTCCCTCACAAAAATGTCCCATGAGGGTATTACCCTCGTGTGACATTTTTGTAAGGGAATATTGTATTGTATTCTGGAAATTCAAGACTTTTATCTCATTTGCCTTCTGATTAACCCAAGCTATTGATAAGGATGCCAAATTGCCATTAAGTGTGCAGTAAGTGTAACAGTGAATAAGCCGTGAGCTGCAGCAGTACTGTGTAAGCTCTCTGCCTTCATTGGTTTCGCTGAATTGAAGTTCTAGAAATAAACACGTTTAATAAATGATGCGAAAATCTGTGCCCGGCAAGATGTATTCCCATCTGTCTACAGAGTTAACTACCAGTGTATGGCCAGCAATGCTTTGTGTTTCAAATGACATCCTGACAGCCATGGCTGAAGGAAAATGCACTGGCACTAGAACCCAGTTGACACTATCGACTACTGCCATCTTACTTACTAGATTGGATTACTCAACCGAAGGCATTTGTCAAACGGCTTCAGAGTGGTTTAAGTCCTACGTTGTAAACCGGACATTTAAAAATGTGATATGTCTTGGGGATTTGCTGTCAGAAACATCAAAGCCTCTCAATTACTCCGTGTATATAGGGTCAATGACAGGGCTGCCACAGGTTCACCATCTACAGTTCGCCCATCCGGCGAATCTTTGTGTGTTATAATATCCAAAATCTATTTATACTGATGATAACAGACCAATTGCCTCCGCTAAGTCAAGTGACCTATAGTGGGTATTGAATATCAACAATCCAGTGTCCACCAAAAGCCAAATTAATTAATAATAATAAATTAATTAATTAATTTTAAATCATAATAAAACAGATGGTAGGTACCGTACGCATACTACTGATCTGCTGGATACTATAGAGAGGCTTGGCTGTATTGTAAACAACACTCAAAACGCACGTTGCTATTGGCTTGATACCCACTATAGGCCGCATGATTTACCAATCGGTCTGTTATGCAATGTAATGGGAGGCTGTTAAACCTATGGCAGTACATTGTTGACGACAATGTTGCCCGTCTTGAAGAATGTATAAGCGAGATCTGTCAGTGGATCAAAGTGCATTTTCAAGTTAAATGACAACCAAAGCAAAACTCATGTTTCTTGGGTAACAGCAACAACTGAGTAAAGCCCCGCTTTACCACATTGCTATTAGATAATGAGGGAGAGTCCCCTGTCTTCAAGCATCCGTAATCTGGGCATTTTATCAGATTCTGCATTTACCTTTCGAATACATATCTAAAAAATATCATAAACCAGCCAAGAATCCTCAATAAAATTTGCAAACATCTTTCAAAACTTGCAAAAGAACAGCAACACATGCCTTCATTTCTCCTCGTCTGGACAGTTGAAAACTCTTCTCTTTGGCATTTATCAACAACATCTGACCTAACTACAGTGAAAACAATACAGAGCAGCATGACTTATTACACGCACCAAACGCTAACGCTCTTCACGCATAACTGCCATTCTGTAAACATCTTCACTGTCTTCCAAACATAGAATCATGTACAAACTAATGCTCCTCACATACCTTTCAATATACACACACTTCTAACTCATATCTATTCGCAATTTTGGCTCTGCACGATTCTATTCGTTTGAGTCTTGGCTGTGCTATCTAGCCTCTACTGGCTGTACTGTGGATGTAGGGCATCTATATTGATGCCCCACGTCCTCAGAATGGTCTGCTCTTGAACATCCAGTCCAGCACATGACTGGAGCAATTCCACATGGAACTCAGAACGTACTTAAAAACCTTGCTAACGATACCAAATTTAAGTGTGATAGTGTTTGAATGCATTTTTCTGAACTTACGTTTTTATATTTGTTTGATTTTTAGTATTTTTCCAGCTGCTATTTTGGAAACCAAATTGCAAATTGAACAAACCCGATGCCAACTACCCTTGTCATCTTACCTGCCTGCGATACTAAATGACTAATTCTTTCGGCGGTGTCTTTCAACGTTAATATCTTTCCCCTTGCTATCCACCGACTCTCACCTTACTCCTGGAAAAAATTAACCCTACCCTGGTAAACCACAGAATAAAAGGCAGCGGTCCTTCTCCTTACCAATAACCTGTCAGAGGTGGTTTAAATATAACGGCTCCCTCAAAGAACAACGCCTCTTCCTCGCCTTTTAATCTCCCGACCCCAAAAGGTATCTTCCTGGTTACTCTTTCATCGCCAAACTGTATGTTAACGGTTTCCGTTGAGCGTTTGTCTTAAACTTGAATAACAACTAGTAAATTGTAAATTGTGATTTATATTATAATGTCAACAAAACCCAGGTAGAGCAGGATGTCCATGCTTTAAGTATCAGCCAGTTGTCAGTATTTCACCTGAAAATAATGATTGGGGCCCCTTTGGTCAGGAATGATTTTTGTCCACAAGTAGTCAAAACTAAAGAAAACAATGCTACCCAGCCTCGACATTATAGAAATAACCCAATGGGATATTTGTTGGGCTCTGACTGCTGTTGACCTCTGGCTGACATGTGACCTTAATTTGCAAACACCATCAGGTGCTATTCATGACAAGGGCTGTAAATGGCTACATGAAGATCAATTCGCTTTAAAAATCCTAGAAAACGAAGCCTCTACCATGATGATGACCACACTGATTACTACTTGACATTTACCCCCAAAGCTGCAAACAGTCCACACGTTTCTTGTAAGAGATAACTAACAAATTGGGCTGAAATCGTTGGGAAAAGTAATGACACAGAAAGATTTTGTTATGTAAATTCCAGTAAAATCTGCGTGGTGGCCTTTTATCCTGGTAAGAGTGCATCACATATCATGCTGGTTCAGTTGTCCATATGGCCAAGTTTGGCTGAAATTGGAGAAAGTGTTTGGCAGTGACAGCGATTTAAAGCTGATGATGAGAAAGAAGACAATGATATACGAAAGGACTAAAATATAATTAGCCCGTGAAAGAAAAATGCTAAATTATGGAACCAAAGTCTTTCCGACAGGTATAAGGTAAAGGCGAAAACACAATTAAACTACTCCTGTGAAGTCACTGTATTCAGTGAAGTGTAGATTTTTTTAAGAATCCACAGGTATTGTGAACATTTCCCGCAAATATATTAATACCGTAGCCTGTAAAGCTGAACAGTTAACGTCCAGTCTTTCACATGTATGTAAAATATTCAAGTTCGTGTTTTTTAAAGGTTGAACATGGATTTTTTTCACATGGCACGTACAACATTTTGTTTACTGTTGACAGGATAAGGAAAAATTTAAACGTGAAAATATGCATTGCATCCACTAAAACTTGAACCATATCTCTTCGCAAAACTGCTTTTCCTAACTAAATCCTTCAGATTTTTCTGCAAAGTAAAGGATTTCTATAGTGGAACATTATTCTCCCTTCTCTCAGCATTTGGAAAGAAATTTTTTTCATACAAACTCTTCTCTAAGCAATCTTCACTTATGCGTCTCTTTTTTGGAAATCTTTATATGTTGATTTTTAAAACCTTTGTTTTATGTTCAGGGGTATATACTCCATTTTGCATTTATTTACATGTAGTATTGATTTTTTTAAATATATTTTAAATATTTCATATTTTGTCTTTGCTTTTTGTAAAAAAATTGCTTCGTACTGATTTTTACCGAACTTAATTTTTTCTTTTTCACTGCTCTGTATATGGATTTTTCAATTAAATCGTCGTGTGTAATCTTAACCGCCATTTATTTTATTTCTTTCATAAATTTCCAGTTTATCGATGACCTACAAGCAAAGGACAATCCATGGGCGATTTTAAGAAACTGATAAATAACTAAATTAATCCAACTGAATGCGAGAGATTTACCGCTCAGTACTTCAGTGATAATCGTTTGAGCGGTCAATGGAATGTTCCAAATCGAGCGTCTGGCCAAGTTTCGTAAGGTAGCTGGCATTACAATTATCAGCTTTATGCAATCCCATCGATTGTATTGAATAATTTGTTTTACCAGTGGTGAATGAATGAGTGACAAAACTGTGTTTGTTGATGACTGAACAAAGGCCGTGCACTCCAGCGAAGGGTTTACAATAAAGCCCCCAAAAGCCTGTTTTGCATAGGTATTTACACTGGGCAATACATTGAATTCATTCTCATAGCTCAAAGTGTAAGTACGAATCTACACTTTTTGTTCCTTGGTTTCAGAACAATATTTATGATAGGAACGTAATTTCAGTCGATAGGCTCGGATGTGTGGATTTGTGCATGTTCGCCTCGCCCACTCTTTACAAGAATCTTATCCAATCTCTTTGACGGAACACCCGTATGTCAGCCAATGTGTTCTGATGAAAAATCCCAACCAGGGTCACGGCGTGTAGTTAGTGACACCACAATGTGCTGTACATTGGCACAAAGGGAATCAGCGCTCCCATTTTTTTTTATTTTACCCAGCATTGTTCAGAAAAATAAAAGTAGATATCTTAAAATAACTGCATTACTTTCTGCGTCAATTTGGACAATAAAACAATTTTCTTATAGAGTCGTAAGTTTCTAATCAAAGGACACTTAAAGTCTTCTAATAGCATAATAACCCTTAAACAACGCTACAAACATATAATAATGACTTGTAATTTTTTATTCTACGCCATACTTCGTTTCGTCAAGGTACAGATTGTCCTGATTTTAACTATAATGGTTGTAGTCATACCTCTAATCTAAAAACAGTTCTTGGGTCGCAGGAGGGGCATGGGTCAATTGTTTCTCGTCGTCTCTCTTAATTGAACGTTATATTTCTAACGCTTAGCAGAGTAAAACAGGAATATATCTCGATTGGATATATATTTATGGTAAAGAATTATTTAAATAAGATTTTTCATGAAAATAAAATAGATCACAGTAGTTTTTCAGGGCTTCCATCTTTTTTGAGCTGTAACCTTAATTAACAACGTTACGTATAGTTAACCCTGATGTAGTTATCACAGTTGCGTTAGGGAATAGCTGAGTAGTTATATACGGAAAGTGGAAAACAACATGGTTTCAAAAACCTAAAACAATCGAGTAACCACTTTATAAGGAAGTAAAATCAATAAGCCCACGTTTTTGGACCTGTAACTCAATGTAGCTGGTACTGTTTGCCAACAATACAAAAATGTTTTCGAGACGTTCTTTGTAAAATCAAACTGAAATGGTGTTACCAAATTTCTGGGACTGTTTAATACATATATATTTATACTTGTCTATCGTAAAATCCATTAGTTTTGAATGACGCTTTTTTTTTCTAAACATGATAAATTTCCAAAACAAGAACGGAATCACCCGATCCATTACTTGTCCTGTGAGTGTTAATAGGTTTCAACAGGTTAGCTTGGCAATTAAAGGTCACAATTACTTTACAAATAATACTCGCTCATGAGTGTAATGGGGGTGACTAGTAGACTAGAAATTTCGACTGAATGGAATTATTCTTTCCTTAGCAAGAAAAAAAAAATTTTGTTCAGTCCAATGCCTCATAAATTTTGTACATCCTCTAGAACGTCGCAAATGTACTGTGACTGTGGAGCAGAATTTCCATCCAGCTTGGAATATAATTGTTTGCAGTGTGGCTGTGCTGTACGTGGAATGAATAATTCACTGACACTTGATTGTCAGCGCAACCAAGACAAGGAAGATATATTCGGGCGCCGAATAATGAATATTACCGAAAATTAGGACTCAATCTAAACCACTTAATTGAAATCAGTTACGTTGTTTAAGTTCAGTACTAATTTCGAACTAGTCGCAGTAATCGTCTTTTTAAGGAATGGTAGAACATGTAGATACAATAATTTCGTGTGTCTATTAAACAATTTTTGATACTACGTACTGCATTTATCACTATAAACTTAGCATTTGTCAGATCACTCGTGGAAAATAATAGGTCTGTAATACATTTTGATATTTTTAGATGTCATAAGTTAATTTTCCCGAAAAATTCTTAGTTTACAATTGAAATAAATTCACGTTCTACCCAACTGACCAATTTCAAGTTTCCCTATAACCTTACTCGAACGCTTCTTAATGAAAAGTATTTTTGCTACAGGCCGCGTCGACTTGACAAGCGCCCTCCTGTGGCGAACAACAGACTGAATCGGCAACACACCGTCCGTACCCATCCCTGCCGCAGGGGGCGCCCTTGAGCTCACATTTGGACATTTCAGACGTCACGCAGGGCAGGGCCTCGTCGGTCAGGAAAAAGCAGCCGCCGGCGGAATAGCTGCAGCAGGTGCCGAACATGACGCATTGGCCGCTGTTTTGAGGCCCACACGAGGTGCACTTGTGGAGAGGAGAGAAATATGAAATTGGAATGAAAATGCTAACATCTTATCCTCTTTACCTTTGTCTAAAGAAATTTAAGTATAGCAAAGTTTATGGCAAAGGCCGTATAAAGATTATTTTTTGTTCAGCTGAAAACGTCTTGGACCAAAATGTCTATCTCAACCTAAATCGATGTATTAAAAATTACCAATAAAATTATAAACATTCAGTGATGGGGGAGTGTTTGCCGCAGCTTTTATTATTTCAATATTCATGCACTGGTTTTATGTTGCCGGGATACAAGTCTTCAATCACAGACGACACGGAACTTAAATTACTATTTAGGACTTCAGCGACCGGTGATTTGTTCCCTCGTAAAGTCTGACTACTTAACTTAGTTAATGACGCTGTGAAAAAAATTCTCTCTTTGCAAACGCCATTGATATTCTCAATCATGCACCCACCAGCTTTTCATAATAAAAACAACAGGTGATAAAAACGCCTTTTCTATAACTCTTCCAGGTGTTTTACTGTGTTCATATTCCATGGTGCATGTTCTTATTTAGGATTGGTGTTATCTACACTCTCATCTAAGTACCCTGTTTCCGCATCATTCTCGGTCCACTGCTGTTAAAATGTGGATATACAAGATAGAGACACTTATATTGCTAGGGAGTCACTGCAAGCAAAAGGGCAACAAACTGGTGGAGCAGTAAAAACAGAACTGTTATTCGTATTCATACACAAAAGAAGTTTGAAAAAAGGAGAAGCTGAACGAACAGGCAATTATTTAGCCTAACATTTCTACTTTCATTTTCGAAAAGCTTTGTTTTGTGCATGAACTAATGAAAAAATACTTGTAGTAATATGTACCTTCGCACATAGATTTGTTCAACAGAGTTTGTGACCGGGGTGAAACCAAATCATTAGTTAGAGTTACACACAACATAAAGGAAGCCTTTTAGTAGCAGAGGAATACCTGTGTCAGCTTCTTCTCTGTAAACTCTCAGAAGTGCAGTAGTGCTGGATATAATTTTTAACACCCGACAGACTATAGCACAGGAGACAAAGACAAGGGTGCTGCGCGTTCCCAAAGGTGTTCATAACACCGGTATTCCAGCGGTATATCACAGCAGCACGTAATTGTGTTGTTAAGCCTGTGTCATGAGTTCTTTGCAATAGTTTTCTTATTGAAAGTATTTCCAATTTAATACAAACAACAAGTCTTCAATCAAAAAATACTGTACGACGCATGGCCTTTGTGTATCAGTGTTATTGTGCTTGTTGCATGTGTGGGCCTGTCTCCCTCGAGAGTGATATCTTTGGTCTACCCCCCCCCCCCCAAATTTTTGGAGGAGAGTCTGCACGTGTCTTCAAGTTCAGCAGACATTATGTTGAGTTACACTTATTCAAAGAAACAAACAGCGCTTCGACAGTTGATTATATCATATGACAGTTCACTGCTCGCATTGGAGCTAAATATTTGTTTTTTATTGTCTGGTCAAGTGATTGTTCTGCACCAATGAAAATACAGTATTCAAGACAGAGGTATAATGAAATCTCCACTTCATAGGGCTTTTGGACCGCATATCAATGTTCATGCGGTTGATTTGTTAGGGACTATATTTTTTTGCGGAGGTATCATGTTTAGAACTTACCTCATTTGAATTATCTAGGTCCAAGACCGATCGCTTGCCATAAAAGAAGCCGTTTCTTTTGCCGTAGAAGAACCCGTTCCGCTTCCTTGTTTCCAGGTTCGACCCCCTTGGCGTTACTTTGGTGTCAACACGGCTCTCGTCCTCGTTTTCAGAGAGTCTCAGGCCCGTTCCAGAGAGGCGATTGCCATACAGACGGTATTTTGGCTTGCCACCTGATGGGGGAGTGGGTCCACCCGTTGAGCCGTGAGGGCCAGTCAGGCTGTTTGCTAGGAGCTGTCTCAATTGCTGGTCGGTCAAGCCGACGTCGTTCAACCAGTACGTCTCTCCCTCTAGACCTTCTCTACGAATCTGTAGGAAAGACACCACTGTGTCAATTCGAACTGCTGTGAATTCTTTGAATTTATTGTAACTCATCCAAGATTTAAAACTATCGAAAGTATCCGTTCCAGCAACAGCATGTTTTGCTGAAATATATTTGGACAATTCATGAGAAGCGTTTTTTAATAATATTCGTGTAGTGGCAGCCGTCATATGGCCAAACTCTATATGAGATTTTCGACGTGTTGGCTTTCCTTACGGTATGTGTGTGGCTCTGAAACTAATGGTAATAATTTTGCGAGAAACTGTGTCCGCCTTAATAATGATCCCATGCTGACAACTGTGACCCAATTGTTGAAGGAAGTTTTGACTTTTCTTATAGATTCACTTTTGTGCATGTTTTAGACTCTTCTTTAATTTATGAACACTCCACTTTTTGGAGTTAAGTGAACCGCAAAGTACATTTTCATGCTCAAAATTTGAACCCAAAGTTTGCACCTTGAAAATATTTTTAAGGAAAGGTTGCTCGCTGGCTTGTTACCATGTACTTTAAGAATGAGTTCCCAAAGGAAATGGGAAATTGTCGATAGAAATGTATAAAACAAAAATTAGCATTTTTTGTGCACAATAAAGCAGCATTGAAGCTCGGTGCCTCAGATTACATACCGTTTTGCACATAAATATGCAAATTCACATAAACATAAAAGCCATAAAGGCCTCAAAATACGGGTAAAAATAGCAAAACGAAAAACAAAAAAGATTAATTCAAAAACAGAAATGCAATGGGAAGAATCTTGGAAATATTTTTATTACACGGTCCCTTTAAAACCATGAAGAATCTTGAATATGATATGAATACGCAGTTATTAGCCGGTCGTTCATTCTACAAAGCGCCCTCAACGCTTTACTGGGTGATGTGCTCGCTGATTCTGTGAATCCTTATGAATAGAGACACATTCAGGCCAAGTATGAAAATAATCAGGATGTTTGGACGACATTAATGCCTTGACTTAACAATTTGACCAATGGATCATAATTTAAGCCTTTGGGCTTACTGGTTATGGTGGCTAAAATCGTATATAGACAAGTCGTTGACAAGTAATGAAACCAATATTAAACAGAATAATGTTCATTCAGTGCAGCAGCTTGCATCAGGCGTATTTGCCTTACCGGCAAATTTGCTTATTGACCGCAAGTTATAAATAGCTACACATTCACTATCAGCATTGATGATGTATATACCTTTAGTTCTAAATTCCTCTTAAAAGTTATTCTCACCTTTTGTGATAGAGACCCGCTGCCTGTTTCTGATCTAGTGCACGGAACAAGTATCGTAACAACCAAGACTATAACTGTGACTGGTATCCACGTGCCTCCCATTGTCACACCCAGCTTGCTTCCGCCGGTAACCACCTTTGCCCCTCCTTCCAGTTCAGCCTGTTAGCAACAAAATTGAAAAAGAAATATGATCGTTTTAAATACATTTTTAAACCTTTCTATTGATTTTTTCCGCTACTCAACCTAACATTATAATTTTTATGAATGAAATTGTGGCCACAGTTCAGTCAGGCAACATTGTGTGGATGGGTCATATCGGTGGAATGAATGGTAAACCGATAACGCAACTCCTAGCAATTTTACGTTTCTATCATATAACTTTCAAATCCCAGTTTTTGGTTCATGTAAAAAAGAGAAGCAATTTCATTAGAAAAGTGATACTATCCCTAATTCCTCCTTGGAATTCGCTGGCACGTATGATGTGATTAACACACGCATAATTGACCCAACTCCAATCGCTGAGCCTCATTCCTCGATGGACAAGATACAAAAATGTTCTTCTCGAATATGCGTTGGTTGGAGAATTGGAAGAAATGTTTTCTAATGTCATCATTTTTTCCCAAGGATTTTTAATATGACTTGCAGGGATTTATTCAAATAAACACAACATGTGATATGTCAAGTTTCTGGTAAAAAAAATGCGAAGGGTATCAAATTTAAACGATAGGGGAAATGTGAAACTGCACAGTCTATGTAGCAGAGCCAACTCAATAGTGACGAACACCCGGAGTTGTAATGACTGAGCTAACTTGACTCAGTCAAAAATTCAGTGAATCGTTACAACACTGCAGACATCTCCAACCATGCAGAAGACGGCAGCGAAGGCAAATTGCAGAAGGGGTAATTTGTAACTCACACAAGCCACTGCGAACTATCGTGAACATTGTGAAACGTTGTATGCTTGCAACATCAACTGCATCTTATCTTATCATAAAGAAATTACTTATGAAAACTGTGCCATTGTGTTCGCTGGAGTTACCACTGGCTCAGAGAGGGCTTCATGTAAGCAGACACAAAGTTAATGCGAATGTCAGTTACCCATACCACAAAGCGATAAGATTAAGATTTTGTATCATTGTTGGAAAAGGCTGTTTAAATCCATAGTAACTATCAAATTGGTTTAGCGAAAGCGATAACCTGGGCATAGGCTATGCGCTGAGCTCGTGATCGGGTATTCAATGTTTAACAATTGTTGACCACTGTGATATGGTATATGACGTTTTGAACACCCGGGGGACACATATACATGCCCAAGAGTGTTCAAAACGTCACATCCCACATCACAGCAGCCAACAATTGTTTTGTCATACCTCAGTTTTAATTATGATGAGGCAGAGGAATATTTCCAAAGAAACGAGCTCTGAATTTTAGAAGTTCAGAAGATTTAGCCCTACTGTTAAACTGTACTAACATAACAGACGTAAACAATATCGTCCCCGAATGCACTGTTCCTTCACTTTCTTTAATTATTGAAAGTAGCCCTTGTCAACATTACTTTGGAGGGCAGGGTCTCCACTCAGGCCATTCGCCCTAAACTATGGAGCAGGAAACCGGTGAGGGCAACTAAATGCAAATAATAGATATTGACAAATACTGCATCTAGCACTCCCGGTTTGCACGTTACTGATCACTATCAAGTCAACATCTTGAAAATTGCAAGGCCTCATCCACTTTGTTTAAATAAAGTTGGAGACACATCAAGTCCATTTTTGAAGTTTTGTCAACGATTGTTTTGTTGACTCAGAATTCACACGGCTGAATAATTCAGGTAGTCTGTGATCAGGCTGCCTGAAGACATAAATGACGTGTTAGTTCAATCTATTCGGCATGAATCAGCATGCTGCATTATCTGATAACTTCTCGGTTTGCTTTAACTGACTAAAAACGCTCGACAGCTGATCTTAGGAAGTACTTCGTATTTGATTTTTTTGAACTGATCAAAAAGCCCCAGCTCTCTGTTTCGCCGTTTCCGTAACTGGCATGTGACTTCGGCATTCGGCATGTGACTTCTAAAATGACTCAGCAACGCCAATATGGGCCGTCCGTGGACGATGGGGAGCGCCCTGGTTCCACTTGATGGAAACTGCTGGTACATAATGACTGACCACGACATGCATATTGAGGAAAAATCCCCTTTTTTGCTTTTAGAGATATGCGTATGAGAATAAAGAGAAAGGAATAGGCTTTCCAGCGATACCACATTTATACATGTACCAAACTCCGCTCCGAAAATACAACGCAAGAAAAACGACAGGAAACATAGCGGTGGTCAAAGCTACCTTTGGGGAAAAACGGCTTTAAATAAGAGCACGCATTACGCTAGCCACGAGCATGTTACGTAAGCTGCATAACCGTTCTAGATATAAATGACCACAGCAACGATATATTTTTGGGCAGCTTATGCCATGAAATATCACGTAAATTGAAAGAATGTCTTCAAACATTGTTTCCTGTACGTTTTATTGTAATATTTTGAAACAGAAGAAATCAAAGGTTGGATGAGTTTTCATCGACATTGGAGGGGCAGATGTTTTCACTACCCTCGGAACATGTCTTTTTGATATTTGAATTTTCAAGTCTTTCCTAAAACATGTCTATAGAAGTTTATTCAGTAAAAAAGACACTTCATAACTCTGTCGTCCGGGCGACGACACCAGATCTTGCCTTCAAACTTTCAAATTTTTCAATATAAGCCTACATGTACTGGTGTCACATAAACTGACAAGCAGTGTCTTGAAGGAAAGACCAGCTTGCAATCCGCTCTGAGTGGAAGTGCATCCTCACACGGACTGTATCACTTAGTTTACAGTTAGATATTCAAAGATAATTCGACAATTGCGTTTTAAAATTAAAGATTTTGCAAATCGTGTATACTGCTTTGAAGATTACAAATTTGCAAGGACGAGGGAATCTTTACTAATCCGAGACAGTACAGAACCAAAAAGGAAAGCGAAAAAATGTTAATGCTGTGACATTGCTAACGATCGGCTCGTTGTGCTCCGCCGGTTGCTTCATTCAAGGCCAGGATCCGTACATCCGCGGATTGTTCGCGACGGTAGTAGGTAAGCAGACAGACTATCTTGGCTGTATAATTCGTTACAGCAAAATTCGAAAGTCATAGTGACGGATATTATAAAAGGGACCTTGTGCCGACAAAACGGAAGCCTACTGATTGCTCATTTTGTCAGTCTAGTTAGATTTAATTGGTTTGAGCAACCAATTGAATGCATGGTATTTGAATTACCAACAGTTGGGTAACAATCGTGGATAATACAGACGAAATAGGCGTAAATATGGCCAGGGTGTAATAAATTCAGTTGTCCATAAGCACTTGCAACGCAAAATGAAACATGACGAAACATAACAGGAAACATATCACACAAGAGAGACTTTTAAATTTGCTTTAATCAGAAGAAAAAATAAACTCTGCCTGGAATTTCTCATTCGGCCGACAAAATGAGCCTTAAACAAAAGGCCAGCATTTATCAATTCACAATGGCCGGAAAGTAAGGAGTGGAAAGTGTAGCATTCACGAGAGATTTGACGGAGAGCGTAATATCAAAGGCAGCGATTCAACCGGTGTGTCACAGTAACTTAACGTCAGCCAGGAAGTGCGACAGTACTGCAAGGGGAACGAACCTTCCTCACCCGAGCACCTGGTATTTCTCTTATCCGATTATTGTTAAATGCACTCTGCCGTTCAAATGGTAGAAACACCACCTCGCGGCTCTTGTTTCGCGTTCTCGTCAAATAATCCCGTTAGGTCACATTTCACGCAAGTGGGCGTTCCTGGTAGCCAATTTCTGGACGTCTTGGCAAACATGCTATTTAATGTTAGCAAACAGACTGCGAATAATTGGGTCTTAATTGGATACACGAAATGGATGCCGCGTTTATTGCTTGGGGACATTGAGGAGACTGTCCAGCAGAGCGGTTGCTGTCGTAAATGCCAACTATATCTCCATAATTTGTCGAATTCAATTTTTTGAAACGGATGTCTGTGCAAGTCAGCCTAATTTCAAAAGCAAGCATATTTGGTACAATGTTTTCTATTGAATTAATTCCATATCGAGCGACCCATTGGAGAACAAACTTAATTCATAGAGTTACTATCGAGGACGATGTACTAATCATGACTGACCAACTAAAATTAATGTATAACGTGATGTGCATATTTGTGAATCTAAGAATATAATTGGTATGGAACGGTTATTAATAACACTTTTTCTAATTAGGCTTTCAAGATACACGTGTGTAAGTCAAAGTGCCTCGTGAGTTAAAGCTTCATGCAGCTCTTTTTATTGCAAAAGAAGAGAGCCTGCTTATACAAGGAAAATCAATTGCCCATTAGGCTCTCGTGCGTCCCAGATTGGAGAACTGTAGCACAATCTGGGATCCTTATCATAGAACTCACATTGGTAGAATTGAACAAATTCAAAGGACAGCAGACGCTTTAACTCCAATGACTACAGCCGTGAGACTTGCGCGTCCTTATTTGGGTCCCAAATCAGGAATGGGGTACCAAAGACGCACCAAAGCCAGACTCATCATAATTTATAACGAATAACATGGGCCGATACCAAGCAACATTGACTGGTTTAGGCACAACAGTTCGCACCAATCCCGTAGGCTGTATGGCCACCAACATCTATGCAACCTCCTTTCAGCAAATATTGTTTCACGTACCCAAGAACAATTTCAGAATAAAAGATCTTGCCAGAATACAACAGGACAGCTTCAAGCATTTCCAGGTTTAAGTCAGCCTGGGATGTTATGGATGTTAAAAATCTAGTTCAACGGGCCCATTTAAAAATTTAATGTTGCTGCTTCCACTGTAACCCGTTAACTCTACCATGATAGCCCAGTAGGGTGATCTGTATATGGCACTGAATCAGAAGCAGAAGCGGGATGACCGTTCGTTACACATGGGCAGAAAAAGAGCCTTAAAAACACCACAGGTGAACGAATCAAAGACTAATTTAGCTTTGGACAAGGTAGTAGGTGAAAAACAGTGGATGCCGTTTTGAGATGAAGAAAATTAATAGTCTAATAGTCATCTTCTTTGCGGACGGTTAGTCACCACTTCTCTTAACTGAACA